ACACACACACACACACACACACACACACACACACACACACACACACACACACACACACACACACACACAAAAAATAAAAATCACATTTCGCATGGTTGGATCTTAACAACTTCCCAAGCATAACTTCAACATGTAACAAGGAGAAATGGAAGTGAGTGAATCCTTTAAAAAAAAAAAAAAAAAAAAACAGAGATCAAACTTCCAGGAATTGGAGTTGGATCGTCTCAGTGTCTTGACAGACAGCCAACTGGATCCTCCGGCTCAGTGCTGGTTAAAATTTTTGGGTCTTCCACTTGACTTTTCATAACCCTCAGGATCATTTAAGAAATTCCAAATGACTGCCTTGCTGCGTCCCACCTCAGCAGCAATGGTGCGCTGTGCGAGATCCTGCTTATGCAGTTCAACAACCCAACCATGTTCAAAATGGAAAAGTTTTGGGGGTTTTTGCCTTTGCCATCAGAATGTCATGACACTGTGACTACCTGACAGAAGGTAACAATAAATCCACTTTTTTTGCACAGATTTGACCTTTTAAAAGCATGTGGTCATAAACTTTTGATCAGCCTGTTTCAGTTTAAGCCTGGTTTTCAATTAATTGCATGCTCAAACAAATGTTTTGTCTCCCTCCCATTTCTTCTTGTCACATGTTGAAGCTCTACTTGCAACCTTGTTAAGATCCAACCATGCAAAATGTGATTTTTTTTATTTATTTATTTTTTTGCCATTTTTCGAGTGGTCTTAAACTTTTGATCTGGACTTCATAATAAGCCCAGTTTTGTGAGTGCTTGTTTTCCCCAAGACTTGACCCCATGTCAACGTGTTTGTATCACAACGTGCTTGTGATACAAACCTAACAAAAATCAACCCAATGTGTCTAAAACTAGCAATAAGAGAACACCAAGACTTAAAAGGTAACAACTTTGAAAAGTCTCTTGGCTAACCAACAGATGCTTTTTACTCCAGACAGACACATCAAGCAACAAAGGGAATGTCAAAGTGCCAAAGTGTTTCACAGCCTTCTATGCTGGCAAAGCCTGGAAGCAAAATAATTGAACACAAACCATATCTGTTTAGGTTACAACAAAAGGTGTTTTTTAGGCTAGTCCAAGTAAATAACACCAAAAAAAAGCTCTCAGCTTTGTCCAAATACAAGTCATGTGTTAGTTCTGAATATGTATGAGCTTCAAGATGCCTCACTATCTCCTGTTCTTGTCAGGCACGCTGTCCCGTCACAGGTAAGACAGCTGTTTTGGCTTAGGCAGAAAAGGGAGGAAAATAGTGACAGCAAGTTAAAAATTAAAGTACTGTTTCTCATGAGGGTGACTGTACACAATGTGCATCTGTGTAGTCATTATGCCAAATACTGACAAACAACTCACTGGCTGCCTGAGGCTCAGCCATAGGTGTAAGCCACACACAGCAGCTTTGCTG